AGAACAGAAAAAGATCAGGGAGTGATTAAACCTGTGTGTACTATTACACAAATAATACTAAACAGTTTATCAGTGAAATAGTTTTACAAGATGTTGTGCTGTGAATTTTAGATTAATGTTGTTTGGAGTCTTAGTCTCTTATCTATTCAGTTCAGTCACCATGACCCCGGCAACAAAGGCTATGTCACATTAGACCCTATTGCACCCTCTGCTGGGCCTTAACCAAAATGACCTTGATTGCTATTAGCAATACTCCAGTAATTCAGGCTGGACTTGGTATGAGAAAGCATTAAAAATAGTATTTTTACAACTGCATTATTCTTTATATGAGAGCTATGATACAAAAGTCTATCTTTGGCATTTTAAAGGGTGTCATTTAGCATATAGTAATAAATTAATGTCAAATTATGTCAGATAAACCTTTAAAAAGGAACTTTTATGTACACTCCTACTACCACAGCAGAGAGAATGTACTGAAAAAAGACAGACCGAAGCAACAGAACATAGCAGAGTAAAAAGTGCAGAAACACTCAGATGAATTATATCAATTTATAGGGAAAAAGAAGTATATTTAAATTCAATAGTTAAATGTTATAGAAGATAACTGAACATAGGTTTAATAATATATTACAGAATAGACTAAAAAAATGGTAAAAGTGGAGCGTAAAATTTAGAAATACAGAGCAACATGGATACATCAGAGGAGGCTGAAATGGAATACAATAGAAGAAAATACTGACAATGAAGAAGACAAGACTTGAGTGGGACATATCAGAAAAAAATAAATTTTTAATATAGCCTATTAGAATAGGATATATTTGAATAACTGTTTTCTGTACAGCAGGCGGGTATAGGTCTTTGTTTTGAGGTTGTCTGTGTTTTTAAATGCGTCATATCCTTCGCTGTTAGAGAGATACCTCAGTATTTTTGGTGCAACATAATCTGCATGTTTCATCTCGCTGAGGTCAGGAGAGTGCGGCTTCATGCTGGCTGTAAAACTGAAAAGATCATACCTGAGGAGTCACTGGGACATTCCTCCCTTAAAGCCAGCCTTAGGAGTCCCTGTGCTCATTACCTCTCCATCACAGACCAGCTGCTGTGGAGTCATTCATCACGATTACAAATCCACCCGGTGTCGGTAGCCTACAGCTCCACCATCAGCCTGTGAGACGCACAGACAGAGCTAGAGCCACCAGTCCCTCTGGGTAGAGAGTTAAATTCACACCACAACAGGTGATAGAGGTGAAGAATGGCAGGTAGATTTTTTTTATGAGGGAAAAATCATTTGAAGAAAACTTTGAATTTCTCCTTTTTTTTTCTTTTCCAATCTCTGGCTTTTGTAATCTAAAAAGACATTACTGTGTTCTGCATGTAAAAACTACATATTCCAGAGAAATACAAACTACAATGATCATTAAAACTAAAACTCAACTGCAAAAGCTGGTTTATTATAATGTGGTGTATTATTGGTTTGACTGAAGGACTGTGTTTGATAAGAAATTCCATCTTTGGGACACATTATTATTCAACTGCACTGAGGTCTGTGGTCTGTTGCCATTTTCAACAATGGGTATTTTGAGTTATTGGAGAAAATTGGAAGTTGGTTTCACCACACTACCACACTGTGGTCTGCACAGGACAGCAATCTTGGCCAACATTTCATGCTTAGTTTGAAAAACATGAAAATTCACTTTGGAAATGCTCTGATTTACTTTACAAAAAGTGACAAAAAAATAAAGAGTGAAACTTGTTTTGAGACGCAGACAGACATGGAGCAAAAAGTGCAACAGCAATAGTTTGGTACAATCTATTCTTTTGCGATTTTGTCAGGTAAACCTGTAAAGTTGCAAAAGTGTACCTACTTCGTTAAAATGAAAGTAGCTTTAAATTAGTCCTGAAATACAGAATTCTGCAAATGTCTGGATTCCTTCCCTAGGACTTGATCATGATAACTTGTAAGATAAATTATGCTCTTTCCTGACATAACAACTTCTTGTAATTGATAAATAAGTGTTGATCTTGTAAGTAAATTTACTGTTTTGATATTTGACTTGCAGTTGTATAAAAGATTAACGTCCAAAAAAGATAATCATCCCATATTTCATTGAATCTAAACGATTTTGACTCTTGAGAATTAACTTTAATACTTGAAACTCAGTGGTTGCTATGTTTACCGAAACTGTTAACGCAGCTTGAAGAATCGACTAAAAATGTACTGTATAAATTCTGTTCACTTGTCCCTGCTCTACATTGAACTAATACTACAGCATAAAAACTGCAAACTTCATATACTTTTTATGGCTCCATCATCCCTCAAAATGATCGGAAACAGCTCATCCCAGAGCCCTGACTCTAAATGAATCTGCAGGGGTCTGGATGGAAACCTCGTGTGGAGCTATTTTGGGTGCTTGTGCACAGAGGCTCAAAGCTGGATCAGCCCAGGGGCCCCCGACAATCACAAGCCCCAAAGGGGAGAGATTTATTGTGAATCAGATTATTCGTGTTTGCATGATTAATTGCTTATTTGTTTGAAAATATGTATGAAAGCACTCATTAAATAAATACACTGCCAATAGAAATTGACACAGGTTAACCTGCCTTTGTGGTTTTGGGGAATTTTCAATCCTTTACAGCTGCAGGAAAGTGTCCTGAAACTGCAGTGGCCTATAGTTACTGATTTCAAGCAATACTTCATGTTAGTTTTAAAAAGTAAGAAAATACTTTTAGGCCTATACTTACAGATATATTTGATGTTTTGTTGTTTCTCTAGTCTTTGAATTCAGTTTATATTTATTGACTCACACTCTTTTAAAGGTTACAGCTGTTGTGACAGCGATGCAGGTAGGTGCTCCTCCCATGTCCTGGATTGTTGACTACCTGACTGGCAGGCCGTACACTCACAACACTGTGTATCAGACAGAGTGGTCGACAACACTGGGGCCCCTCAGGTAAAGTCCTGTCTCCTTTCCCCTTCACCCTTTTTATGGCAGATTTCAACAAAACAGAGTCTTACCACCTTCAGAAGGTTTCTGATGACTCTGCTGTAGTTGGATGTATTAGAAACAGTGAGGAGGTTGAGTACAGGGTTGTGGTGGATAACCATCTCCAGCTCCAGACAAAGACAAAAGAAGTGATGATGGATCTGAGAAGCATCAGTGACTTATGTTTTCAGAGAGGAGGTCAATGTGGGCATTGCGGGGGGCTTCTTGAGGAGTCTGATGTCCTCTCACATCTACAGGACAATGCTGAGGATGTTTTACAAGTCTGTGGTGGCCAGTGCTATCTCGTATGCTCTTGTGTGCAGGTGAGACTGTGGTGATGAAGCTGAACTTTCTGACGTGGTGGCAGAAAGGAAGGCGCTGCAGTTCTGTGGGGTCTTGGGGAATGACTCACACCCACACCATCATGTGCTGGCAAGGCACAGTGGCAACTTCAGTGAAAGACTGATCCCTCAGAGATCTAACTGACATTGCTAATCAACCATCAACCATATTTTTGTTGATATTAGAAAAATCTGACATTGCAAAATGTTTTCTTTCTGCCGAATCTATCCTGGTATTGAGAAAGATGCAAGAATTTAAACCATATAAAAGCAATGTGTTTTTCCTGTGCAAATAGGCAATTAAAACAATTTTTTAATGTATTCTGTAATTTTTCTGTTTTCCTAAACAAAATAAATATTAATATTCAATACTTTACTAACAAACTTGACATACTGCTCTATATGAAAAACAGTGACGTGTGCTGACAGTGGTCAGTGTTGTGTCTCTATACTGTCCATCCAATATATATATATATATATATATATATATATATATATATTTATATATATATGTACCTTTTTTTCTCACCGTCCAACATTAAATCAGATTAAACTTTTCCTGTTTCTCGAGAAAATAATAAAAAAAATTGTCTAAAAGAGGAAAAGTTTAATCTGATTTAATGTTAGACAGTGAGTAAAAAAAAAAACTTTATGTGCCTTTTTACATAGTGTATGTAAATTTCTGCTTTCAACTATTTACATCTTTGTTTGCAACATGTTACCTTTCAATCCATGATACATCCAAAGGCAATTTTCATCACTGAATTATCACCAGTGAATCAGAGGTTAGCTGACAGAGAGCTGAAACTTCCTTTGACTGCATCAAAATGGTGTGAAAGCACAATACCCGTGCTAGGTATGAAAATATTGTAGCCAATATGTAAAACTTTCCCTATTCACTACAATAAAAAAAGACTTGTTATATAGACATTGTGAATGCTCAAATAGCAATATTAGTAAATTTGCATATCTTTTCATAGCTCATATTTTAAACCCTCAAGCTCATAGCTCACATCATTATGCATTTATTCTATTTTAAAGCAACTGTAATGCCCAAATTGTCCAAAGACTCTTTTAGTACGACTGAAAAGAGTCGTGCATTTTCATCAACAATGACTGAGGTTTTTTAGATGCAAATGCATTTTGTCATTTCATATGACTACCCACTGAGCAATAGACAGCTATTAGACGTCTAGTTTTTTTTTAGACCAAATTTCAACCATCTAGATTATATATATTTTTAGACAGAATTTAGACGTTGCACTCTCACCCATTATTCAATAATTATTTATTTCAAAAAGCACTTGTGAGTTGCAAAACTGATCTCCAATTATTTAACCAAATTCATCATAATTGCCGTTGAGCAATATTCAGTGTGGTATGGATATAGCCCAGATTTAGACTTAGTCTAAATTTAGATGTCTAAAAAACTTTCATTTTTGAACCTGCGGTAGCCTGATTTTACACCAGTCGTCTAGGCTACATTTAGGCGTCTATTAGACCTCTTTTAGACCAAAAAGTGCTCAGTGGGTATATATTCATAAAACGAACAGTGTGTAAACAAAGAGCAGTCTACACGAGTATTGTCAATGTGATCGTTTTCAATAAAGTTGAAGTGAAGTGACCTTCCCTTGTCATCATCCGGGTATGACTGTGCTCTACATACATCACACCGCGCATGCGCACTCTTCCACTGTGGTTCGACCTCTGCAGTCGGTAAGTGTGTAATGGCAGTTTGAATGAGACGCCTATCCTGAGAAATCCCTTTTCATCCTCTCTTTTTACTTCACATTGTTGCGCACAAGTGAGGATAGCATGCAGAATGAATGTGAATGTACATATGACTGCCTGTATTTTCTCTGTGGAGCAATTATACACCCGTTTGACCTTAATTCTCTCCGTTCTAACTTCCTCACAGAGATCCGGGCTTCAACCAGATTTGACCGAACCGGTTAAAACTACCAAAAGCAGAAAATGTACGCCTGTGCAAAGTTCGTCTCCACGCCGGCTCTGGTGAGTGTGTTTTATTGGTGTGTTTTTGTGCTGTTAGTTTTCGTCCAGCTATCCAAGTGAGACCTATAGATCCTGTGGGCCTCCGATTGAACTTGACTGCAGCTGACTGGCAAGGGTATCTGCATTTGGGGCTAACCGGCTAACGAGCTAATGCTAAATGCAAAATGACAGACCTTTAAAGCAGCTGCATTGTAAAATATTGCATGTTTGTGTCGTGCATGTTACCTGTCTTCAAGAAATTGCACCCTTCCCTTATGCTGTAGCTCCTAGCAGACATTTTTGATTATGGCGGTTATCTAAGGTCATTTCGAGTCTGAATCAGACGAATTTCACATGAAAACCGTGACACACCACTGCACCAATCCTGCACCACATTCAGGTTTATTCAGTTTTTAACTGTGTACTCTGATATAGATGTTCATATGAGTTTTTATACACTCTCCAAGGTCATATTTCCTTTTCTAATTTCCCTGTAAGGCCAACTACTCGAAGCTGAAATCAGGCTGTTTGTTCTTAATGTTGCAAACAATGTTTTCTGTGGTTTTCCACCATGACAGGCTGACAAAAGCTTTAGGCAGCCATGGATGACTTTGACAGCACAGGCTGTACTTGCAGAGCATTAAAGGCCACAGGTCATCTGGAGTTTGCACTGCAGTGAATAACACTGACAACAAAGTGACACTCAAGGTGCCTTACAGTTGCTCATTTGTCTGCAAAGAAGGGAGAATTACTCGTAAGTCTGTCAGTGTTTTGTGACTGAAATTGGGCTTTTTGTGTTTTTGTGCTGTTGCTGCAGGTCCGTGCTGGTTCCCGGGCTCTTTACAGACCCCTGTCTGCCTCTGTGCTGTCCAGGCCTGAGCTGAAAACAGAGGTAAGGTAACATGAAGGCTGATAATGGGATTTTATCTGCTGATCTCATTTATTTGCTGCAAGTTTTCACTAATAGGCTCATGTCTTTTACAGTGTAGATTATGATATCCTGGTATTGCAGTAGTCTGACCATCAGCTAAGACATAAAAGCACATTGCAACCCAAATATGTGTTGTCAAATTTTATTGTCCAGCTATTTTGTTTCAGAGTTTTGAATTTTCAGTTTAAATAAAGTAAAGCAAAAAAAAAAGGTGTGAATTTAAAAGCGTATTTCTATTTCTAACAAAACCATGAAAATAAAGCTTTCATCTATTTTCCATTTGTGATTATACTCCTTTTTATAATGTCCGCAGTAGCTGCTTACTGCAGTTTCACATAAGGGTTTCAACAGTGATAGTTTTTGTCTCTTCTGGCTCCAGAGCAGTGTCGCTGTGATGCCACAGAGCCCTCTCACCCAGGTCGCACTGAGGGGTTTCCAGACCAGTGCTGTGAGCAGGGATATTGACACCGCCGCCAAGTTCATTGGTGCTGGAGCTGCTACAGTTGGAGTAGCTGGATCCGGAGCTGGTATTGGGACAGTGTTTGGCAGTCTCATCATTGGATATGCTAGGTTTGTTTTCAGAGACATGAAGACTGGAAATATTGAAAATCTCATGGATTAGTATATTCCTGGTGTGTTTTGTATGATTATTGACTGTCTGTTTTTTGTTCTCAGGAACCCATCTCTGAAGCAGCAGCTGTTCTCATATGCTATCCTGGGATTTGCCCTGTCTGAAGCCATGGGACTGTTCTGTCTGATGGTTGCTTTCCTTATCCTGTTTGCTATGTAAAACTCTGCTGTCAAACAACACTTTCATTACAGATGTGACTACATATTTTATTGTGGCTACCAAAATTGTTCCGTGTTGGTGTCATGGAAATGTACATTTTCAAGTCCTTCAGACACTGTCGAAAAAAGCAAAACATGTATTGTACAAATGTAAGAAATTACGTAATTAAAATACATGTATTTGACTATTTAACAATGGCGGGAACTCTTATGTCTGGGGTACCATGCTAACACAAAAGAAAGCAGTCAGTTTTCATGAATGTCATCTTTCCTGTGAAGCAGCTGCTACTACCTGCCATGAATCAGCCTTGCTTTCTCAGAGCATCACATGCAAGCTTTTTGGGGTCCACCTGTAGGAGTTATTGGTTCGACTGCAGTTAAATAGTACTGTAATTAGGCAGCAAGTGAGTGCTTGCTTTTGTAAATGGCATTGAATAAATATAGACAATTTAATTGAGTTACATATTGGGTTTTGACTTTTTTGAACATCACAGTTGAAAGTCCTGACATGCATCAAACAAAAACACTTAATGAGAAACGTAAATTTTACCACCTTCAGTTTCTCCCTCAGTGCGAGTGTGTAAAGGTCTGATATTATTTCATACAAAACCTCAAATCTGAGTATATCACTTTGTTTTGCCTAGTTTTATAGACTGGTATATCAAAAAAGGGACTGACACATTCGAGGAAATGTGAAAAACAAACCTAAACTTTGTACATTAAATTTGTAAGATTTGACATTGTGAAAAAATATGAATACATAGTTTATAAAGTCTGACAAATCGTAAGTTACATGTACTACTGCTGTTGAAGTATTGACTAATAGCCTCAGAATATGAGATAAAACCAAAGACTAATGTCAAACTGATACCAATGAGACCTGAGTAGTTACTGCAAACGCTTCAGTTGAAGTACTTTATTCAACCCCAAAGGGAAATTCAAAGATAGAATGCAAAATATACCCTGAAAAAAAACTATTTACATATCTGTCGTGTACTTGGATGTAAAAGAGACCCTGAGGCCCCAAGGAAAATACACCACTGATGAGACATTTTGTACAGTAACATAAGTATGCCTACAGTATATTTAAAGCCTTATTATTCCAACAAGAGATGATAAGTATACTCTTAAAATTTTCAGTTTTAGCAATACAGCATAACCATATTTCTTTAAACGTGTAAGGAGTTGGCTAAATTCCCATAAATTAGTGTTTTAATGACAGGTTTATGAGGATCAAAATTCCTGAGCTGAGCATGACGTTCACGGAACTACCCGAGCTGCTCTCGCGATAGGTTGATTCAGACGTGGGATTTTGGAAATCGAGGGTTGTGGCTGAGGGGTAAGTGACCACTGAAACCGATAGCGAATTTATACAAAGCGCTTGTTAAATTCTTCATACCTCGCGTTTTAAGGGTGTTGTCGTCCCGAAAAATATAATGTCCTCAAAAGAAACGTTTAAATTCCTTGTGTTAAATGTGAAATTAAGCTCCAAACATGGCGACGGTAGTATGTTAACGCAGAGCTCAGGCTAACGGTAGTCCATGGAGGCGACTGAAACAGATGCTCGCAGTGTGGAGTAACGGTATATGAAAACGACAGTTACATCTAAATTATTTATAAATATACATTTGAAGGGTCATTGGAGGATTGCACATGCTGTCTTCATCGTTCATGCATCCGGACTCCAACAAACCGACTGAGAACTGAGCTGCTTTTATTATGGTACCGTGATGTAAACAACCTGAGCAGCCGCCCATCATCGATATGCTTTGTCCATCATACTAGCTGTCTGTCCTCTGGATCTTTACTGTGCCACTGTCGTTACAAGTGTGTGAGGTATCAGCTCATGCAGTATATGATTTATTCACATTACTAGAGTGTTTATTCTGTTGACCAAGATACAAGAAAAATCACTCAGCCCTTGGTGTTCATGCATCTTATATCTTCCTGTGCTGTGTCCTGTTTCATTTCAGGGTGACATACAAGGAATCCCTTAATATGAGTGATGATAAACCTTTCCAATGTACTGCTCCTGGCTGTGGACAGGTAAGCCATTTCTCTTGATTACAGAACACACAAAATGCTACAGATTGTGGCTTTACTATACTGAACAGTGATCCAGAAACTAGACAGTAGTCCAATTGAATTATCCCAGTTGTTAGGTGTTTTGGATACCATTGAGTGGTTAAAATTTAGCCAGAAACACAGGGCCCTCAATAAGATATGGTTATATTACATTATACAATTCACAATCCAGTATGTGGGACATATTATAGCTTTGTTGATCCTAATTAGAAACAAAAAAGAGTCAAATACAACCCAAACTGTTACAGTGCAGTCTTGGTTATAGCCTTAAAAACAATTTTAAATACAGTACAGGCCAAAAGTTTGGACACACCTTCTCATTCAATGCATTTTCTTTATTCTCATTACTATTTAAATTGTAGATTCTCAGTGAAGGCATCAAAACTATGAATGAACACATGTTGAATCATGTGCTTAAGAAATAAGTATGAAATAAATGAATACATGTTTTATATTTTACATTCCTCAAAGTAGCCACCCTTTGCTTTTTTGATAGCGCTGCAAACTTTTGCTGTTCTCTTAATGAGCTTCATGAGGTAGTCACCTGAAATGGATTTTACTTCACAGGTGTGCCTCGTCAGGGTTACTTCGTGACTGAAAGAGTCAGTCACTAAGTACTTCTGTCATCAAGAGCAAAGGGTGGCTACTTTAAAGAAACTAGAAAAGAAAACATTTTTTCAGTTTTTTCACACTGTTTTTGAAAAGTACAAAATTCTACGTGTTCATTCATAGTTTTGATGTCTTCAGTGATAATCTACAATGTAAATAGTCATATAAAAAATAAAGAAAAGACATTGAATGAGAAGGTGTGTCCAAACTTTTGGCCTGTACTGTATATGAAAGTCATAGCCAAACAGATCATGTCCTAACATGTCCTATTATATTTGGATGTCAAAGAGACTCTGAGGCCCCAAGAAAAAACACACTGTTGATAAGACATTGTGTACAGTAACATAAACATGCCTACAGTATATTCAAAGCCTTATTTTTCCAACAAGAGATGATCAGTATGCTCTTGAAATTTTGAGTTTTAGCAAAACATACTTGGTATAATAATACTTGGTTGTAGCCCTAAAAATAATTGTAATATGTGAAAGTCATAGCCAAACAGATCATGTCCTAACACTTCACTAAGTGATAAACATGAAGTGATCGACAGGTGCTCATGTTTTTTGTATTTATTTTGTTTATTTCAAATCAGTTCCCTATCCTTAAGTTTCCCAGCAATGACTGTAAGAAACGCCATACTTAGTGTGGTCTGATATGAACTGTTGGAGGAAAATTCTACTGATTTGATAATGGAAATGTTAAAAATGTTGTTGAGGCCCTTTAAAAACTATTAAATATCAGCTTGTTTATAGGTTTGTTGAAGTTAAATTTCAGGTTGTCACGCTTTCAACTCCTTCACTTTTACAGTTAACAGCAGCCCGTCAAGTCAAATCCTTAAACGAACACAGATTGTGGTATTCTGTTTTTGTTGGGACTGCAGGGATTTGATCTGCACCTGTCTCACTGTCCTATGTTTCCTTTTCATGTGTTCCCTTATACTCAGAGGTTTACAAATGAGGATCACTTGGCTGTCCACAAACACAAACATGAGATGACACTGAAGTTTGGCCCAGCAAGGACAGACACTGTCATCATTGCTGGTAAGGATGCTTGAAGTCCACCTTTTTTTTTTTTTTTTTTAATTTAACTATTACTTTCCCTCATGGTTTTGTACTGCATGTTATTCTCTGCCGCAGACCAAACCCCCACACCCACCCGCTTTTTGAAGAACTGTGAAGAGGTTGGACTCTTCAATGAACTTGCAAGTCCATTTGACCATGACTTCAAAAAAGCAGCAGAAGATGACATTAAAAAGGTTGTCCTCCATGTTTGCAGATTGTGTTATTTCTCATTGTCATATAGTTAACATTTTAAAGGAAGAATGTTTTCTCATTTTTTTCTGTAGTTACCACTGGATCTGTCACCTCTTGCAACGCCGATCATACGCAACAAAATTGAGGAGCCCACAGCGATGGAGGCGCACAGAGACAGCCCTCTGCCTCACCCTGAATCTACCACGAATGATGACAAGGTAAAACATTTCGAGTGGGCTGCTTTTAGAGTTTTTAAGGGTTGACCTCTCCTTATGAGTGAGTGGAATTAAAATATTACTGCTCTAAGTATGGTTTTAGTAGCTGATCTTATAATGTGCTTGTTCTAATTTAGCTCGTAAGAAAATAATTGATGTTTTTCCTACCTGTTCATTCCTAATTCTGAGAACAGTGCTATCTGGCGATCATTCAAACATAAAGAGTAATGAACTTCAGTATCATGTGTTCATTCAGCACTTTTTTGCAGCTAAGGTTTTGTATGATGTTTTCAGGAGATTTCTTTGCAGCCAGCCTCACTGCCAGCATCTACTATAGTCCATCCTGCATCCCTCCAAGTTCCCAATGTACTTCTAGCAACCTCAGAGGCTAGTGTTGTAATACAGCAAGCTCTCCCATCACCAACATCTAGCTCTGTTATTACCCAAGTCCCATCTACTAATAGGCCTATAGTGTAAGTAACTCCAAACGTCCATTTTTGAACTTCATAGCCATCTTTTTTTTTTTCGTTATTTATTTTTGTGCAGTTTTGTCTTGGTGAGCTCATACTTTCACAAGGCATGTGCTTGTGGTATTATACTTATTTTCACTCCTCAGGGATTTTTTGGTTTCTGCTGTAGGCCTCTTAGGTCTTGTCATCATGATCAACATTAGTATTGCTCCCATATGGACTTGTATATCCACGTAATTTTCTGAATAGTTAAGAATGAGAGTACAGGTATGTTGTAAGTGTGATACCATCAAATATAATAGTGCTACAAATACAGGTGTGTTTGTGGTACTACTAAGATTCTAATGTTAATCTTTAAGGTACCTTTCATTTGTGAAACACTCATGAAGTTATTAAATACAGTATTCTTAATCAGAAACAGTAGTTGTTTTTATATTTAAAGTTAGTGTTACTGGCAGGAGAAGCAGTTAGTACATGCTTCTCGATTAACCTCTTAGAAAACACAAAAATTGCGCCTGAAATTCATTTTCTTTGTTGGTTTGGAAAACTTTTTAAAAAGTGAACAAGTCCATATCGGAGCAAGGCTGATGCCATGATTTCAGTTTGACAACAAAGTAAGTGTTCTCTTCATCATATAGCTGTAACACAGCAGGTGTATTTTGAGTTGGACCTTTGTTTTAGTTATGCTTTATTTCCATGAGTTACTGCCTGATATGACATGTTTTTGGTATGTGTGTATCCATCCTTGTCCTCACGTTTGAATCAGCTTGTGTGCTTTTCTCAAAGTTCTTGTTTTTTCTTTTGTTTTTCATTGGGATTTGTTTTCTCTCCCTCTCAGCCCGGTGTCTGGTACCTTCCCTGTGCTCTTACAGCTGCCTAATGGCCAGACCATGCCAGTCGCTATACCTGCATCTATTACAAGCTCAAGTGTACATATTCCGACGACAATTCCTGTAAGTCCTTTTGCTGGTCATCAATGATAATGTTGTGGTTTTTGAAATATGACTTGAGGAGAATTATGAAAGCCTAAGTCACCCAATAACACTGACTTTGATAACACAGCCAGTCTTTTCTGATGGTATATTCAGTAGCTCTTTTGGTACTAGGTTATATTTTACCTAGCACTCTTTGATACTCTCACATTTCCTAAAATTAATATGCTTTACCATGAAAATTTGCAGTCATGTCACAAACTCCAGGGTTTGGCTAGATGACGTTGCAAGACTTTGTGTATTTTATTTTGAAAAGAATTTCTTAGTCCAAACATGCAGCTCAAACAATGCTCTGCTGTTGAGAGTTGGTGTGAAGTCCAGCGTCTGTTCTTCATTTGCAAGTAAAAAACCATCAGCTGCTGAGCTGTGATGACTATTTCTATTCTCTCATTTTCAGTTTTAGCCTTCTACATCATGTCACATGTCATACATTTATCATTTCAATTGACATGAACTGCTTTTGAGTTACTGCTACATAAATTTATAGGTGTTGTATAAAAAGTTAGGGAGTGGGCCATGATTTGGAAAAGAATCCTAACAAGGTGAGACAAGATGCCAACACCAACAGCGCTGAGCTAAAGATTATTTAATTTGTTTTAACACAATTTTTTAACCTTTATTTAACCAGGAAAAACATGTTGAGATCAAAAATCTCATGAATTTATGCTTCTAAAAAAGTCCCTCATAATCAATGGTTGGTAACACTTCCATGTAACTGTGTATTTCATGGCCTCCATCAGATTAACAAACATTAAACTTATAATTGTCATTCATGGTAAAGTCTCAATATGAGCCTGCTTTTCTGTTATAAATCACATTAAACTAGACATTTTAATCATGTTGGCGGATTTTCCATTAGTATTTTTAACAGAAGCAGAAGTAACAACAAGATTTTCCTACTCATATCTTTGGTTACTCATCCTGCACACCCTCACCCTGCAACTCTGCCAGAGTTCATACCCTTTTGCAGTTTGTGGTTACTTTTTTGTTTTTCTACAATTTGGCTGATGTCTCTATTACTGAACTCCATGTGTGTGTGTTAACCTTCTTTGCAGATTCTGCATGACTATTCCACTTCTCATCCTCATTCTTCTCAAATCAAGAGTTTTGTGCTCCTCAAATTAATTAAAACTGAGTAACATTAAAAATGTCTTGTATGTTGGAAACTAGGGCTGCACGATTTTGGCCAAAAATATAATCCCTATTTTTTTTCAAAATTTTTTTTTTTTTGGTTTTGATTTTTTATTCGGTGACAACTTCACCAAACTTCACTTTAATAACTTTTTCTTTCATCTCTCAAAACAAAACCGCTGAAAACGATGAAGTGCATATGCCAAGCCAGTAAGTGGCGCTGTAACGCTGCCAAGGAAATGCACAAAAAACAGAAGAAGAGTACAGAGCGTACATATAAAGGTTGTTTTGGACACACACAGGCGCCATAAAAGAGTTACACTGTGTGTCACATCTCGAGACACGATAGCGAGGAAAATTGAATTGCAGATTTTTATTTTTCTAACATCGTCATAATCACATAATCCGATTACGCTTTACAACCAATTAATCGTGCAGTCCTATTGGAAACTGATGTATTTGCCACATGGTCAACAAGAAGAGATAAAATTATGGACTTACAAATTAGGTAATTGATTTGATGTGGCGATCGTGATGTGATTGTTCCTGGCTGGGCTCTTGCTATTCAGAAATAATTAGGTTGTTATGGAGTTTTGACCAATCAGAATCATGTATTTAAGGGAAGAGGTTTATTAGTAAGAAAGCCTGATCCAATAGAAAGAACAACCAAAGAAATCTGAGGCATTTCTGATGCTGTTTTAGTTCAGTGCCTAAAATAACTAAATCGCTGGACTATGTTGAACGACTGCATGCACAGGTTTAGTGTTATTTACTCATATGTTAAATTCACACTGATGCATATTGATGTAAAGAAAATCAAAGCTCATCTAAAGTTACATTCAGATGACACTTCTGTTGTATTATCAACATGATTACTACACATTTCCTTCTCTTACTTGGACAGAGGGACTATTTACAACTTTGGCGCCTCAGATTTGGCAGCCAGAGCAGAACCATGGAGGTTGAACTAAATAATGGACTTCAGAGTACAACTGTGGCAAAGACACAGTGTTTGGCTGAGTCTCAGCAGGCTCCGGTCCAGGATCCTTCACTGCTATTTGTCCTTGTACAATTAGAATCAACACTCTTGATCCCTGGCAGAGCAGATAGATGATGCTGCTAATATGTTTTGCAACTAATTATAACTGCAACTCATTGCAGTGTCTAATATTGGAAATTTGATGTAAATGGAGGGTCTTTTTGGTGTTGTTTTGAACTCCCCCCTGTGGAAGCTCATTGTGTAAATCCTGATTGTCAGTGTGGAACACTGAGCAGCAGATGATTATCTCCTGATAGCTGCACAGCAGGGAAAAAAACCTCTGTTTCCAAATCTGTGGGGATTGGGAAAGCCGTTGACAAGTAAAGCAGGGCAAAAGTAGATGGAGAACATGAGCCACCAGTGGGCCTCCCCTTCACTCGATCATCTCCTCCCCCCTCTCCGTTTCTCTCCCTCTGCAGCTCTTCCCAACTCCCTCCGTCTCATTGTCAGCTGCAGCGAGAGGAGGCCTGGCTCTGGCCTTCCGACTCGTGTCTCTCCATCCTCTCTTCAGCTTCCCTGTCCATATGCTCTCACGCAGGCAGGCAGAGGTTCATTAGTGTGCACTCTGCATCTCCATGTGGCGCTGCCTCCACAAAATAACAGGCCATCCAACCTAATGAGGCTGAGATATGAGGAAACTGAGAGCCCGCCATGGCTACATGTGTGTGTTGTCTTGTGGGGGTGTGCTGCCTGCCTCTCTACTGCTGAGGACTAATTTTCTCTGTCTCTGATCTGTCTCTATGTCCGTGCCGTCAGCTTGTCAGACCTGTCACCGTAGTGCCTAATGTCCCCGGGATCCCTGGACCTCCCTCGCCACAACCACAAACACAGCCACAGCCACCGTCGCAGCCCGCCCAATCAGAAGCAAAGCTGGTATTAATTATCTCTTCTTTCACATCAAATGGTATTTCCATGTCGACTGTGTTCTTCCCATCTGAAAGGCATAATAATGACCGGAGTAATAAACAGGCCTGAACAATGGGGGAGCTGTTGCTTTCCTTGACCAGACGAGGGCACTAGTGAGAGGGCAGGTGTGTTTGGTCCAGAGACTATGGTGTAATGTGAAATGTTGTTAATTATGTGGACTATTTTGAAAGGTTTTAATCTGTTTTACTGAGCTGTTTTCAGTCTGTAACTTGTTAGTAGAAAGGCTGAAACTTTTTATATTTATTATTTTATTTTATGTTTTTTTCAAACCTGTGCGTGAAACACAAGACAGTAAACTGAAAACAAACAAATAAAACCAATGAGAATATTCAAAACAAAAATAACAATAATCAAAGCCCAAAAAAAATACTAAGAATAATAATGTGAACGCAACATGTCCGCATGTTTACAGCATGTTTATAGCATGTTTACTATAACAAAAATATAACATAAAATAATTCCGTGTTCATGTTTCAATCCAAGGTGCAGCCAAAAGGTCCATGAAAGCATGCAGATACATAATAATGATGGAGATAAAGCTTATAATTAGCTGCTTTACTTTGTCATACATGTCAGCTGATTCAATGTCTTTTGATTTTTTACTGTTGGACGGACAAAACAACACATGTCAGTACATCAACTCTGACCAGTCCTGAATATGACAGCAGAAAATGTTGTGAAAACAGATTAATCTCAGTTTCTACGTTTGTTTTAGAATAATCCAGCCACAAAGGTTTAGAATGTTTCACTGTGGGTAGAAGGCGTCATCAGAGTCTTGTCACACTTTGTCCAATGATAAAAAAACAAGATTTGAAGTGCAGGGATATGAAGTGTTGTGAGGGGGATTGGTGGCAATGTGATGAAGCAGGGATCACAGATCCTGTAAGTGTTCCCAGCATGCTCCGCCTGTGGAAATTAGCAGATAAACTGCTGAGAGGAGGTGTGCGTGTGTTAGGAGGGAAGGATTGATCTTGACTGAAAGGGAGGAGAGGGAGGGGGAGGGGGTTGTCGGGGATCATGGGGTATAGCGATGACAAACGCGTAGACAGCGTTGCGCTCAGCACGCCGTCACTGGGGCCAACCAGAGGGGGGCTACCAGCAAAAGCCAGCTGGGGGCATCCTGGCACACGCTCAGCGAGGCACATTAAGGCGGCCTCACCCTGCATGGAACCTTTTGTTCAGCAGAATCCTGCCTGACCTGCGTCGCCCCTCCTCGCACTCACGACACCTCCCACCGCACTCAGCTCATCAGCAAACACCTAATGAGCCCGCGTCAAGAAAACAGACCCCCACTCAACCTGCCTGCTCCCCCGCCCCCACTCGGCTCTCAGGGGGCACGGAGACGGCACTTTACAAGGACTGATGATGCTGCAAAGACCACAATAATGATAATTAACTTGCTGAATTTAGAAGATTATGCTGTTAATTAGTTGCAAAATAAAGATAAGTAATATAGTAGCAGATGGTTGAATAACACCCATGAGATGGAGGGTTATTACACTGATGAGGTTTCCATGGCAGAGATGAAATATGAATCTGACTGGCTTTTCCCTCTTTTCTATGGGCCATTCCTGGAGAATAATATCTTCTTTCTGCCAGAAGAGCTTCTGGAAGGGTATTACACGATAAACTAATTTGGTAGATAGATTGGTCTGGCAAAGGTAGCTGTTAGAATAATGTGCTCCACTGTTTTCTCATGTAAATGTATTCCCTCTCACTTTGTTATAGCTTCCAAAGGCTCATTCACTTTCACCTTGTTTGCTCTGTGTTTGATACTGGAAGAATTGGCCCGTGAATCATGGACACAGATCTGTGGAGTAATATTTTCAGTGAGCAGACTGTGTGCGAGTTTGTCTTTTCAAGTCCAAGTCAGTGTTTAAAGAAGCGTGTTTTTTTTTGATAGTTTGGAGAACATGTCTGAGTGTGGGTGTTCATCACCTTTGGTACTTGAATAATAACACAACCAAGTGTCTTGCAAAATCTGTGGGCTTGTTAGTTAATTACAGCAGAGTTTCAGTTTTTTTTACTAATTAATTAAATTTTTATGTGACTTCATAAATCCTAATTTAAAGATTTACTGTCATTTCTTGGCTGCTTTGGAGGATAGGGAGTACCTCAATAATAGCAGGTAGAGGATAACTAAATATGTATGGTATACATATACAGTAAAGGCAGCATCCTTTCTAATAATGCTCTCTGCTTACTGCTCTAAACTAAGTAGCTTCATTGAAGCAAGGTGTCCCAGTCTGTTCACTAAGTGCCATAAACCCCAGGCTGAATCTGTTGCTAATAAGAACCACTTTTCTCAACTTCCTTTCACACCGTGTTTCAGGTGTTTTTTTTTAAATATATGTAGGATTTCTTGCTTTTTCTTTTAAATGTGATTTGAAGGGATTAAACTATGTTGCCCTAAAGGTTTCTGAGAGTTTATGGCATTGGTTTAAAATGTTCCCTGTCACAATTCAGTCATTGGTTTTTAGTGTCTCAGGTTTACCGTCTCAAAAATCTGTATAAACAAATAATTTTTCCTCTCAAAGACAGTTGAATGAGTTAGAGTTTCCCTTTATAGACCTGGTTATAGAAGATTTTACTGTGCTACTGTGTTAGTATGTTCTGTCTCACTGAGTTAGTTGTGGTTGTTTTTGGTCAAAATAACTTGTTTGTCTCAGAAAATTTGCCTAAGAATAAGCATAAGGTGAATTTCATAGTCATTTTATGTAGGACACATGCAGCTTTGAGTATTTTTTCTTTATATCTTCTTTTCTGAAGTTTTCAGGAAACTTCTCTGTGAAAGAGGTTAGGGACAGACTAGAGTCTATTGTCTAAAATTAGCCCTTGTTTCTTTCTTTGAACACGTCATGATGATTTTCTTGACATATATATATTTTTTTTATTGAGATTTTTAGATGACAATGACGATGATTTTCTTGTGTTACATTTTTCCCCAGAAGCTAAAAGCAACAATAAGCCAGCAGATTCCTCAGGTAACAAACGGAGATGGCGGTGAAGTCCAGAGCAGTGCCGTGACAGCTGCGCCTTCTTCTCCTGCTCCGCCCCCAACACCAACTCCGGCCCAGACTCCAGCCCCAATGGTGGTCCTGTCTCCTGTTCCACCTCCTCAGCCCACTGAAGAACCTTCACCCCATACTCTTCAGCAGCCAGCCACCTCCACCACAGAGACACCTGTAAGTATCCACTCATCGAAATGACTCAGAGGAAGAAGAAACTTCCTGTTATGGTTGGTGATCCGATACGATTTTGATATCAGTCCAATATCAGCCGAAGAACAAATATCTGATTATATTGGCCTCCATCTAAAATCTCTGATATCAGCAAACTTCCAATACTAGCAGTCCATTCCAGACTCCACTCCGGCACCTCTAGCTAGCAGCGCGCTGATCCAGCATGTGGAGTCCATGTGATCACAACAACAGTGTGTACTAAGCATAGACTGTATATAGAATGGACAGGGTCTGCCTCCTCGCTGGTGAAGCCACTACGAGAACAGCACCCTCTGGTGACGGTCTGCAGTATAGGTCATAAATCCCGCCTCCACCAGCAAAGCTTATGGGGCTGTGGACAAACTTTAGGAATTTATTACACAGAACATAAATTTTTCTCCCCCCTGCTTGTGATGTTGACATGTAGTTACAGTAAGACTGGTTTGTGCTCAAGTCCTCTTTTTTTCTGTGAAGCTCCGTTTTTAAAAGTTATTAGGGGGTTCATGTTTTCAATGATTGACACCTGTCCAAAAAAAGCCACTGCAGCAAAACTCGTCATGCACAAGTTGGTGCCCATATACAATATCGGTATCGGAAGTAAAAAAGTTGTATTGAGACACCCCTACTAATCTGTAGATCTAGAAGACCATCTAGATAATTACATGGCTGGACTTTTTATTTTGTTTTGTCTCAGAAAAGCAGATAATATAATCAGAAGACTTGTAGTTTATCTGGGAACGTATTTGTCTAGCTTGATATAAACCTTTGATATCCATAAAACACCCTTGTAAACTGTTAAAACTTTAGTAGTAAACCTTAGTAAAACTGTGAAGTACTGATTAAATGGTATTTTATTTATTGTCTGTGCATTATTTGTTGTGGTTCCTGATTAGGTTCAAACTTTTGTCCTGTATGTGTGAAGAGGACTGAATTGACTTTGATAGCCTTAAGCAAAGATATAGTGTGGATTTATTCAATCTTTGCGATTCAAAAAGGAGCAGCTGCTTAATAGTAAGTCAGTAAAACATTTTTAGTGTAATCTAATGTGTCATGAGTATCATAAGTCACTTGGCAAAAGGAGTTATGTTAATACCAACAGATGTGGCTATTTTTTTGTTCTACTAGTTATTCTTTTTTTATTATTATCACTCTTCAGGCTTCCCCAGCCCCCCCTCCACCAAACCCTCCAAGCACAGGGGGCCGCCGGCGCAGAACCACATGTGAAGACCCAGATGAGAAGAGGCGCAAGTTCCTAGAGCGCAACAGAGCGGCGGCCTCCCGGTGTAGGCAGAAGAGGAAAGTGTGGGTTCAGTCTCTGGAGAAGAAGGCCGACGACCTGAGCACCATGAACGGACAACTGCAGGTGCTCTTTCTCTCTCCTTTCGGATAAATGCATGCAGAGCAGCAGCTTCACCTGTCTTTGTTATTGTGCTCTTATGCATCTATTTGTCACTATTGTGTATGCATGCAGATGTCTGTTTATGATAGTGTGCTGTTGGTGCAAGCATGTGTGCACACAGACTTTTCCCTTCTGTGGTGATGAAGTCATTAAAGCCGATTAAGAAGAGCTGCCGTGTGACAGCAGCGGTGTGTGAGCCCTTTACATCGATATGTCCCTGTCAATAAAGATGTATCCTCCAGATGTCAGCCGCGCACAAGCGTGTCTTTGCTTCTGTCTCAGCAGTTTACTGAATGGCCTCAAAAATCTCCCAGGGAAAGGTGTCTTTTTGAACCTTCATTTTGCTGCAAGCAATTAGGATCTGATGCTGACAAGTTCGAAACAGTTCATGTATCTGCTGTCTCTGTTGATAAGTGTGAGCCGGGGTGCGGCACATCGGTGTTCCAGACAATTAAATGAGATGTGGTGTTTATTTGCTCACTGTCTTATTTTTCTATGAAAGCAGAATAAGATGTGGAGGGAGGAGGAGGGGAAAGACAGCAGGGGAAAAGAAATGGGTTCATGTTGTTAATATCTGGTTCAAAAACAAGTGATCACCCCTTGTCATGGGTGCTGTAGCTGAAATTCTGTTTACATTTTTGTAGATAAAGGGGAAGTATAGGTGAGTGGATGGGGTGATTTCTTGCTGTTAACTGCAAAGAAGAGAACAACATGTGGTAGAGAATAAAAAGGCGCTTTATATGAAGGCATTAATCAGCAGTGCTGTTTTTGTAAAAACCCCCATGCTGACACGGCCCAGCTGATCAGTGAAACTGCCTCTAATGATGCACAATTATTTTAACATCATCCTTAACTGGCTTTTTAATGAGGTGTCAGACCAGGCAGCTCACAGGGCTCCCAGCATCACCCAAGGCCCATTCGCTCATTTTCGATTAAATCACAAAGTTGAAAAAAAGTTTAACTCTCAAAAGTCCAGTTCAGGCTGATTTGAAAATCCAGGTGTGATGCAGGTCGATATTACTGTTGCCTGAGATCAGCGGGGGCGTTGCTTTTACTTGTCCTCGGGGTAAAAGGTTCTGTAAATCAGCCAAATGCTTTTCAGTACTACGTTACTGAGGAAAAAGCTGAATGTGTTTCCTCATTTGACCGAGGGAGCAACATTTTTTTTCATGGATGTTGACATCTCTGCCCTTTGTCTGAGGGATTCTATCGTATGTGGTAGGAGAGGCTCTTCAGAAGGATGGTTTGTGTTTATATTGGCTTAAACTGGCAGCAGTCATGGTGGAAGCACAGTGAATACAGCACTGGCTACATGTGATGCATACGCTCCTTCCAGCTGTGTTTTAAATCTGTCTCACAATAGCTCAGCGCTGCCAGCAGCTGCAAGACTAAACAGATGGAATCAAATAAATTGGCTGCTTTTAGACTAATAGATTAAGCCGCCCGTAGTCCTTTAAAGGAGAAGAGAAGGAGCTTAAATCTGCCATTGGGTGTTCGGCAAGCCCCTGGCCGCTCTAAATCCAGTTAAAGTCACCTTCAGCGTAATGTGGCTCTCTTTTACGACATGCAGAAATCCCCAGCTCCCGAGGGAGCCGTAACGACACGCGAGTGTAAATCTCGACAGCATCTACAAAGTTGCTCTGACAATTGGAACAGCTCACCTCTGACAAATGTGCTGGTGGGAAGCCAGTGAAGGCCCATAATTATTGTACAGGAACAACATAAATGAAGAAGTGCATCATACTTTATTCTGGATTCATTCATTATGTTGTTAGCATTCTCTATGTTTGCTGTTTCACATGGAGGAGCTGATCAGCACTAATGTGGCGGTCACGTGGGTTTACTGTAAGATGGGCCTGAGAGTTTTACCCACTAATAAAAGGTAAAAGGTGTGGAGAACACACAGTGACACATGTGTGTTATGACTGTGGATAATTTGTGCTTCAGGATCCTGTTTTGGCTTTCATAAAGAACTGGGACATATTTTAAGACACTGAACATTCCTAAAAACATTGAAAACTTGTAACAGTAAATAAGAATGAAGCTGACACGCTGAAGTTATGATAGCTGTAAATTAGACACTGCCCTAGCATGGTTTATCCATTAGGGAGCACTTGGACTATTTTCAGTATAAATCTTAAATACCCCGTTGTTACATATCGCTGTGATGTAAAACTAAACACAGTAATCCTGTTCAGAAGTGTTGATGTGGGACTTTTTTAAACTCTTTATTCACGATGGCAGCAGCCTTTGATGCCCTGTTGTTAAATAAAATCACTGTTTTAAGTTTTGGTGGCTTTTTAAACAACAAAAATCCACTGACTTTCTTTCTGAGGTTTGAACTCCGTACTCCCGTCTGTTTCACGCTCTAACCTGACATACCGTTGACCATTTGTATTTACTGCTGTTGTGTCTCCTGTCTCCCAAAGAATGAAGTCACCCTGCTGAGAAACGAAGTGGCTCAGCTGAAGCAGCTTCTTCTGGCTCATAAAGATTGTCCTGTAACCGCCATGCAGAAGAAATCTGGCTATCACAGTGAGTAATGCTCCATTATTCTCAGCCCGAGGCGTCCAGTGAAACCCGTCTGAAACAAGCTCTGGCTAACCACCAGAAAGACATGTCTTACTTAAGACCCAACAGAATAAATTGATGTATGAGGGCCCTTTCTTTGAAAAACTTTACAGAAGTTGTAGAATTTATGTCCACTGTTTGTGTGCAAACAGGCATGGTCAGAGTGATTTCAGGAGGCCACAGGTGGCTTCAAGACAGAAATTGTTTTTTGATCTGACACCTAAATTAATATTTCTCTGTAGAAGAAAGAGCTACATTTCTGAAGGAAGGGGTTTTCAGGATCCAAATATTTGAGAGGACGGGGAAGCCAAATCGGTCTTTGTGCAACACTTTCATGTAATAGTTGAAATAGAGCTTTTGATGAACTGATCATTAAACTGGAGAAGATAACAGCGTTTTTGTCTAGATTTCCTGGAGTCATCCTTCAGTGTGATTTCCACGCCAGCTTCCTCTCCATCATGTGGTCTCATTTAGAATTATATCACCAATATTTCTAAGTTTCCAGACACTGTAGCTCTGTCATTTTGATATCAGGGTCATAACTTAGCTTCTCTCTCAAATGAGCCAGTATCCCACCAGAACAAGTGTGCTCTGAGCTACTTCTCCACTATGCTCCTAAAGTCTCCTCTGACTTGTATTGACAATGATTGCCTCTGAAATGAGTCCATTAAAGCAGCAAGCTTGACAAGACTGCGTGGCGTTCTCTTTGTGGGGTGTCCACCAAGCTAGGCTGTTCATTACGCATCCCTCATTGCTAACCGTCCCACTGACACACGTCATGGGTGTTACAGGACGGATGGTTTCCAGGCTGCAGCAGGCTGTCAGAGCCAGGTCTCATTTGGTTTTGTCTGGATTGTTTTCCAGTCAGATCTGCAGATGAATTGGGTCATCTTTCTCATGCATTTGATAAGGACGTCTGTCCCGTGTTTGTAGACCTTTCTGAAGGATGGCATTTGGAGCTCTTTTTACCTTGTTTGGGAAAATATAACCTCATCCAAATACCTCAGTTCATCTGTTTGGCTCATGATGACAGGTGGACTAGATTTAATACAAGCCAAGAAGGAAAGCCAACTTTGTAAAAGAGAGAGAGAAAATAATTGTCTGTCAGGGAGAATAACCAAGGAGTTGCAAACTTTCTTTGTCTGACACTTCCCGTCATTTCTCAGGTTTATCCTGTTGAAGTGATTTAAACTGGGAGCTCTTGAACACTATTGCACAATTAATCTGCCGGTGTTAAAGTTGGTTTGGGAAAGAATGCATTTGTTAGACAGTAAAAAAGGTAGACATTTCTATCATTAACACATTATTTTAAGTGTATATCTCAAGTCTTTTACTTTACTATGAGCTTACTCGCTGTGTCAAGTAGAAAAACAACAGAACTTTTTAGCTATCAGACACTACCTACAGTTTAAACTTCTGTTATTTAGACTCTTTCTTCATTATGTTAGCTAATTCTTGATTTGACAGGCATTTAGTCATGACTGGATGTCTATGCTTAATTCAATAGGTGGTGCAGGGTAATTTTTAGATTATCACTAATGTATGAATGTATACAATCTAGGGCTGTAACCAAAGAAATTCTTGGTCGACTGGAACCGTGAAATGGTTTCTGGTCTCCAGTGGGTTGGGTGAATCCAAAATGGCGAAAGCAAGGGGGGTGTTCTGAGACGGGATGCTCTTAAAACACCCCCATTAGAACTTGGTACGTTCCTCCCAATGAAATTAACCATAGACTGTGTAAATTGACTCCGAAAAAGATCGAGTCGACCAATCAGTATTTTGATCGACTCAGCAAACATCGACCAATAAGTCACCAGTCAACTAGGACTTTACAGCCCTAGTTATTTAATCAATATCACAAAAAAGTGCCTGAAATGTGATGAATTAAGAAAACTTAATTCATGCACAAACTTTTAAAGTCCAAGTAGTCTCAATCCATTTACAGTAGGGATGTTATTCTTATGAATTCATCAGAAATCCTGGGATGATTGACTTGAAGAGGTGACCAATGTTAACCATGAGAACTGTCAAAAAATAGTTTTTCTAAAGGACTGACTAAGAGGAGGAATCAGCAGGCAAACGTAGAGGCTCAAATGTGGGGCCACACTTTTTATTTTTGAGTATCTGTGTCACTGTTTGTGTTGAACCCAGGCTGATGTTTGCGAAGTAACAGCAGTGAGCTGTGTTTGTGTTTCTGATGGGAACTATATTTTAGTGAATTTTTTTCCCCATTCTCAAACCAATCCAAACACTAATCAAGTACCCAAAAATAAACTCTAGCCATCGTCTTTATATCAACTTTATCAAGACTTTTTGTTTGCAGCTGTAGAAATTCATCAGTGTTGAAATACTGATGAACAGAAGTATGCATATTTGATAAATAATATGAGCCAGTGTAATATGCACATTTCAGATTTATACTTTGTTATGACCTTTGTTTCTCATAGTGAGCCAGTGTCTTGGCTACTTGTATAATATTTATAACAAATCCAGGTTAAACATTGTCCTAGCAGAGGAACATTAGAAGTGTAGCATCATAGCGAATGTGCATGCGTAAATACTTAAAGCCACTTGCGAGCTCACAGTAATGTTCAGGTGGTAACTGGCAGAATAATTACTGTAGCTGTTATCCAGAGGTAGCACTGACTAAAGCTGGAGGGTTTTATGAAGAAGAAGAACTTTATTGATCCCCAAAGGGAAATTCAATAAAATGAGTTTTTTTTTTCTATCTAAAATATGAGATGATGTTCCTGTAGCACTTCTTTCTCAAGTTTCAGCCACTTGCTTGTAGGACTTGCTTGTAGGACTTTTAAGCTGCATCACAGCCGTTTGACATTATAGCTGCATTTGAACCATCATCTGTGAGTGTGATGTCAGAGGAAAAGGGCTGCCATGAGAAAAGATATAATTTTTTAAGAATAAAAATCTCTCTATATTTAGATAAGTTGAACCACTTTGTAATCTAAACAAGCTGGCCCTCTATGTAAGGAGGGGAGGGGGGGCTCCTCAGCCTCGCCCTTAGGCACAAGCACAGCTGATTGGGATTCACTGGAATGATCTATCTCACTAATTAGTTAAGCACAGTTTTAATTCTGACTGAATCATGGCCCTCACTCATTTAAGGGCCTCATCAAGCCCTCCATTTTCTTAGTGTTACACATCCCCTAAGACTGCACTGCCCTCCAGACCCGGTAATACCCTTCATCCTCCTGCTCAGGCGAAGCCATGGCAGGTGGGAGGAAATTACCCAGACAACCCCACAAACAAGCCAGGACACACTTTCACTTGGCACACCGAGCTGTCCATCTGCTTCCAGTGAAGCCCACTTCAGAAACCAAGAGAGCGGAGAGACACTCCGGCTGCACAGGGAACCAGAATTTTCAGAATATTATGATATATCAGCTCACCGCCCCATAATGTCGTTAGGAGTAATAATGCTCACTTGAACATGGAACAAAACCACCAAGCTGATTTATTCTGAGGTTGACCTTCTGCATTGTAAAACAGCGAGGGAGTTTATGGCGCTTTGACATTCACTTGCACTAAATCACACGGTCAAAGTCCATTCATGAAGCCTCTAATGTGCAGACATTTGTATTGCTCTTTAATTGCTCCTTCTTGCCGTGGAATTTGCACTTTCCATCCCCAAATAGCAAACCCAGTCATTAATTATCTAGTGCCAAAACAAGTGACTTCATATCATTAACAATATTAATTATCAGTTTGCTCTTTATTCCTTTTCGAAACAGAGCATGAGAGTAGTTTTTTTTCATCAAGATCCAATTAATTCAATGCAACTGCCTAACAGCTGGTGGCATTTCGACTCCAAGTCTTCCCCACTCTCCAGTGTGAGCATCATTAAAATCAGGTGCTGTAATCATCTGTCGCTGCAGTAGTTGGCAAGGTAACAAAAAACAAATGAGAATGCAGTTAGGGATGGGAAACAGTGCCACATGCCCCAGAATGTAATGCACCCTTATGATGTGGGTTTAAATTGACATTGGAGCTTTAATTAAAGGGAAGGGTGCGGAAATGGCATTATGGGGATTAATGAAACACTTTGCATACACCACATGCAATTAGCTGTTTTACATCTGATTTGTGTGTCACAGCTCCTCCAGCCTTAGTAGGATTTTATCAGGAAAACAATAGTGTAAGAAAAACTAAACACCCCAAATTTTTACCGACACAGTCTCAGAGAAGGACGAGAGCTGCGAGGAGATGTCCGTCCCCGGCAGCCCCCAGAACGAGGCCATACAGCACAGCTCTATCAGCACCTCCAACGGGGTCAGCTCGTCTTCCTCAACTGCCACGGCTGTCTCCGCCCCATCCGGCGCCGCCAACGCCACATCCAACCAGAGCACAGAGGAGAACAAGCCACGGAGAGGCGCCGCCCAGACCCAGCCTTCAGGGAGCTGATTGTCCCAAACTGTCCCCTTAAAAAAAATCAACACTGGAGTGCTGTCAGCCCTTCACTCTTTCTAAAAACCGAGGAAAGAAATTCTCTCTCAGCTTCACTTCTAATCGCACTGATTTAATTTATCCTTGTCTATTTATTTGTGCTTGGTCCATTTTTGTCCTCCATAGGCAATGCTTTTTAAAAATGCAATATTTTCTCCGGAATTGATGAAGACAAAAGAAAAGGCACTTTAGGTGTAAGAAGTGAAATAAGTGGTTGTGCAGATGTTTTTGTATTTGAGTGACTTATTTATTATTATTATTAATCTTCTCTATTTTTTTATTTAATCAGCCTGGAGGTTGATCAGTGAATTTTTTGCAACTTTACCAAAGTGTGTTGTGACTTATTTTCCATTGATTTGCTATGTTTCCATGACTTTTTAAGCACTATCTTAATGAGGAAGTTACATTAAGAGCAGTCACTTTTTTCTGTTCTAATATGCTTTTTCTAATTTTGCACATTTTGAGAGATGACGGGTCTACCTTTTTAGAGTTCCAACAGTCCACATTTGTTAAGTACTGGCAGCTTTTTAGACGTAGATTTGAATACCGTCACATTACACACACACACAAATGTAAATGGCTGAATTTAAATGGGAGATCTTTTCTGTGAGTGAGATCAGCTGTAGTTGCATTGTGAAGTTTGAATGTTTGTAAAAATAAATAGTCTTAATACGGAGCAGGGCTGGTTAGAAACGCGTGATATCTCATTGACATTCCATCTGTAGTCTGATTGTTCCTGAAGCAGTGATTGTAGGATTGCAGTACCTTTTCATTACTCAATCATGGTGATGTTGACTTCATTCAGTGCCATTAATGTTTTTGTAACGACGACTTCTGTACATTTTTACTGCTGATTAGCTTGAGTTGTTCTCTCAGATCAAGGCTCTCATGAACATAGTTTTCCCAGTAAGGAAATCTCTTTGTATACCGTCTTTGCTTTATAAGTGACTGTTAATCGCTTCAGTGTCTTTGCCAGAACACTCCAGGACAGTCGGCTGTTTTCATGATCCCAGCTCTAGATGACATTTTTAGGAAACATTGTAAATAACACGTATGTGATCTTTCTGAGTGTTCTGTACTTTGTTTTTTAAAGGATAGTCTGGGCTCAGTAGCCGAGCCTGTTGATCACATGAACTCTGTTAGCAGTGAAATCAGATCTCAAACATGATTATAGGTCTCTCTATCTCTCTCTCTCTTTGCCTGAGCGACTCCATAGATTCTCATGTAAAGTTTAAGAATTCAGATGTGAACTGGAATCACATCATGTGTATTAAAGTAACACCACAACTGCTTGTAAGAATCGTGAGCATTTTATCCTTAAATTAAAAGTAGGAAGAAAATCACACTATGAAGTCAAATTTGCCTTTTCCTCTTAGTCTGTACTGGCTTACTACTGTGTAGTTTTACAAGAAGCTAACATCTTGTTTTCTTTGAGTTTGATTTTTACAACTTTTACTGTTCTGTGCTCTCTGCATGACATAATAATTCTCTGCGAGAATTTAACTGTTTATTAGATAATGTCTCAGTCAGATGAATATCATGAAACAAGTTGGTTCAACTTGAGTTGTGGGTCTTAAATTATCAAAGCTTTGGTTATTTGTTTTACCTGGGCTATACTGCAAAAAAAGGGGCGTGATACTGTGTTGAAAGTGTACTTGTAACTTGTGAAAGTTCTGTATAAAATTTGAATTGATAAGTTGTTGTAATAAACCTTTTAATATCTCTTTAAAACTCTGTTTTTCTCTTATTTCAGTGCACAGCCTGATTCGATCAGAGTGAAACATGGAGGATGAAGACCTGAATATTTATTAAATTACAAACAACAGCTGATAATTTTAACACGATTACCAAAGGATATAACCAGCATCTAGAAAGAGCAACATGAAACATTATTTCATTTTATCTTTGACATGAAATATATGACAAGAAAAATAGTAGTGAAGTGGATTGAGCTGCCACAGAGGTGCACCTCTACATTTCTTATGGTGAATACTGCCACCTTGTGTTACATTAAGGGACATCAGTACCTTTACAATCATTGAAAAAGTTTTTAACTTTGATGAACTTCCACAATGTACAACACACCTATTTACAGTCAGATTGCACTATTCTAGCAGCATTATACATGAGCAAATGAATAGATGTGTAAAAATGTAAACTAATGTATGATGATGATGTAAACTTTGACTTTTAAATTTCACTGACGAAATACACAAAAATAGCAAGAACAGATTGTACACTATTGTACACAACAAAGCCACTGAATTCTATGCTCATTCTTTTTTATATCTTCTGCAAAAAATACAAAACTTTCTTTCAAAGTACAAAGTCTGTAAACTACAATCAAAGTTTAACAGTATTAATCAGTATTTTCAATCTAACAGAATCTGCATAATATGTTTTCTCCTGGATGTGTCAGGATTAAGGAGTCATCTATGATGAACTGCACGTGTTTATAGAAGGGGACAAGTATCTCGCTACACATCAGGACAACATCTGGATAACTGTTTCAGTCGTGAAACTAATGAGTAGATTTCATATCTCAGTTAATGTATTTACAAGAATCAGCCATTGAAATGTGGATTCACCGATATTAGGAGTAGTTTTACGGTACATTTGGATGTACAGTACCTTGCTCTAATATTTCAGTTTTATCTACTTTTTGACAAAAACGTATTTCTCATTCAAAAATATATATTGCTTTGAGATGAAATGACCTCCCAGTAGATTTATGGTGTCAGTCAGCATGAGGTCTGCACAAACCAAGACACAAACTTATTCTCTTTGTTATCAAAATTTAAATTCATTGTCTACTGATAATTAGTCCTGCCTCACAGGGTTATAGATTAATCTTCCTCTTTTCAATTCTAGATCATTTTTCACCCTCTGAAGTTCTGCATTTAGCTGAACATCCACTGATATCTTGTCCTACATCCTGTATTTATTTATCTCATACTCAGTGCAGCATTTTGACGCCTTATTTACCACAATTTAAAATAGCCTGTCGATGAAAGGCTCAGTCCAAACAAACCTTGTCTTTTCTTACTGTTGTAACTCTAATTGATAGAGAATACAAGAATAGGATAGAAGTCAAACAAGCTGTTGAGTTAATGATTCATCTAGGACCAATTTATTTGAAAATAAGGTTTAGAAAGAAAAGATTTCATTTGAACATATTTTATTCTATGTTTATTATTGATTAGAGGAGTAAGAGCATTATTTCATAGCCAAAGTTTAAAGTTTGTTAAAATGACTTCATTACCCAGAATGCATCTTGATGTAAACAGGAAATTCAGAAGAGAAAAGGCAAAATCCGTTAATAAAGAAAGTTTATATTTTAAGTCCGAAGTCAAGCCTTTTCCATTTTGAACATGGAAAAGAAAGATTTAACACTTACTTAGTCAACACTGAATCACTCATTAAGTGTACCAAACACAGCTAAACGAACAATTCTCTCATTTCCAAATGCAGGTATCTACGATGTTGATTTAAAGACGAAAGTAAGACCTGCAGAAAACTAAACATGAATTAGTGTTATAATTAAAACTACATATTATTTTCCTGTGATAAAATAAACTCAGCTGGAGTTTGAGTCAAGCAGACTTCAGAGTATCACAACTCTGATCCTGAATGATGAATCCCCCTGCACCAGTTTTTACTGTTCACCAGGGGGCGTCACATCCAAACCAATTCTAAATCTTGAAAGGTTTAACTGAATGGAAGGAAACACTACAGATTTTCTCTGAAATAGGACAGAGATACAACACGTCTTTGTTGACAGAGGGCAGACAAACAAGTGAGAATAAAACCAACAGAAGTCACAGAGTGGGGTCAGGCCAGGTAACGCTTCAGTTTTTAATAGGATGTTTTGCAGGATGTCAGCATCACATGAATCCGGTGATAAAAAGAAAAAGATGCCAGTTTTATATTTAATGTTTCACAGAAGTTTTATTCTGCCTGCCAGCACAGGGGCGCTCTATAAGTGGAGCAGCTGTGATTAGCTGCTGATGGCAGAGGGGGGAATTGTAAATGTTACTATGTAGGTCACGGCATTTGTGAAAAACAACACTTAGTTTGGGCTTGATGCTGTCAGTAACGAATATAAAAACCATCGTACAGATCTAAGATACAGCAGAGCATCATCTTGCCATTTTTCTCTTTTTTCCTTCACCTCCATATGCAGACTATTAATTTTGATTGTTTGATTAATTAAACCCCCTGGCAAAGAGCTCTGCGTTATTCATTATTCATTGCATGATGATTTCAGTGTTAATTTGGTGAGGTTTTTATAATGAATGCATGCCGTTCATAGAAGTATCAACATTGTGGCTTCTTAATATGCAGGAGATTTTCGTCGGATAGACACAAAACCGGTCCTGTTGTGTTTTATGGGAATGTGGTTTTGTGGAATAAAGAGCATTTTTTCAGCTTCCAACAGCATTAGTATTTCAAAACATCATTCCCAGCAGCCATTACATCCACTGAGCCTAATTGGGGAAAAAAAGTAACAGGACTAAAGATGGACAGAGTCTGTGTTGAGTCTCTGTTTCAGGATAAATGAGCAGGATAATAACGCAGAGCTGATCTGCTGACAGGCAGCCTGCTCCAGCTGTTACCATAATTCGACAGGTATTAGGCTTTGGCCCGTAGCGGTCTGCCTCAGCAGACTGGCACTTAATTAGGCAAGGATTAAGGCCAAACAGCCTCATTTAGGTGAAGTGTATTGTAAATACAAACACGCTGCCCTTTTTTTTTTCCTTCAGGGGGCATCAGGGGTAAATTTAAAAACGCGGAGGTTTGCTGAATTGTAGATGCTCCAGGCCTTAGACTCCAGATTTTTTCAACAATGAGGGCTGTTTCCCCCTGCTGAGGGGTGCTGTTTTTTGAGCACACGCTTTAACCCCTCAAATCCTGGGAGACAGAGATGAAACAGCTTGATTTACATTTAATTCAGATTATGTAAATATACTGATGGGGTCCCAAACCAAACACGGGACAGTGTGAGCCGCCTGCAGCACCCAGGAAAAATGGTCTTCATTGTCATTCAAATTTGAAGGAGAAAATCTTTCTTTCAGCCACGGTCCGAGCCTTTAATTAAACTCTTGATGAGATATGATATGTTTTCTCTACAAATACTGATAACACTCATTATTTTCACTTTCTGCATCCCTCTTACTCATCCTGTTCGTTTCACTCTTGATCGGAGGGTGACTGGACACGATATCTGCCTCTGCCACCAGAGCTGTGCATCTGTTTAACAGTATTATATGGCTGTATCAGCTCAGCTATCACCCAGTGCACTGTGGGGGGTGCAGGGAAAGCCCCAGTGGGCACGTACACTGAGAGAGCTTGACTCTGCCAATCCGTCCCCTGGGTATCAGGATGCAGCACTATCCGTCAGTGTGTCTGGAGGCTGAGACATCTCCTCCATCAGTCTCTGCTGACATTAGTATGCATGACCGTCTATTCGTGGCAGCAGGCCTTTCACTATAAGTGCTGGTCTTACAGTATCACTCAGCTCTGATCCCCCTCTGAATTTGCTGATTCTCTTATCGATATGTTGGTCCATACCTCTCTTTCAGCAAACATTGAGAGATCATCAAATAATCTTTAACAATTGAGACGCCCCCACAAACACAAGACACCCAATCTTTGGTCTTGTGGTCTCTTTGATCGTATCTTTGAGCTTTGTTTGCATTTTGTTAGTCATTTTATTCCTGAATTGTGGCTCTTTTGTATTTTTTGTGCAAATCGTTTGCCTCTTTCTGGTCATTTTTTAGTTCTGGCATCTCTTTGTGGATGTTCAATGACTATCATGTTCAATACAGGCTCCTTGTCATGAAATGTTCTGTGAATTTAGTTTTTCCCTGGTTTTGTCATTTGAGTGTATTTTCTTTGTGATTCTCTCCAGTGTTTCTGTTTCCTATTGTTCCTGTTCCCCTGTAGTCCAGTCTTGTTAGTTTTCAGTTTGTGTTTGACCCTGTTTCCCTCCTGTTCTCTGTGTTTTATTCTTTATATCAGTTTCCAGTGTTTCCTGTTTTATTTTGCAGTAGTTGACTCCTTGGCTGTGTCCGAAATGAATCACTAACCCCTAACCCCCATATGGGATTTTACTATATAGCTGACTATGTAGTGAACTCAATCACTGGAGGTTTCGGACACTACATGGCATGACGCAATGCATGACGGGATGCCCACCACCGGTGAGTGACCATCGGCTGGTCACTACATTTTGCAATGCTTTATGGGAAATTTTGAGTAGCCTCAAATATAGGGCACTGGAGTTGATCACTGAGATTTTGGACACCCCTGAAAATGGCGCTGACTCCCATGTATATAGGGGTTAGGGGTCCATTTCAGACACAGCCCTTGTGTTTCTAGTCTGGTTTTATATCCTCAGTTTTCCCTCCTTCGTTTATCACCCCTGAGTTTCACCTGCATCTCATTTGACTCACCTGTGTCTCGTTTGCCTCACCTGTGTCTCGTTTGCCTCACCTGTGTCTCGTTTGCCTCACTTGTTGCTCGTTACCCAGTGTGTGTGTGTAGTTCCTGTCTTCCCCTCTGTCCTTGTTGGTTCGTATGTACATGGATGCATATGCTTGTGTCCCCTGTTGTTCCCTGTGATTTTTGCCTTGGTAATTTTTGTGGATTTTGCCTTGGTTTGTTGCTTTTTTTCATTTAGTTCTTTGAATTAAATCATTTTTTGTTCTACATATGGGTCTTTTTCTTTGTTTAACCCCACACATGACACTCCCTTGGCTCTCTGACTCTGTATCATGGTAAAATAAACCCACTCTTTCTACCCTCTCCTTCAATTTGTGCAGTACAATTAGCAGAAGGTTACATAATTGTTTTTTTTTTCTTCTTTTTTTTGGTCCTGACAGATTGCTAATCTTAGCCCACTAACACACCTTATATAATTCAAAATGATGCTGAAATAAAGCATAAGCAGCTTTCACTGCCTGTTTTTCCACCTCTGACCCAAAGAACCTCCTTAATTCTCTAATCTCACTCTTAAAGCTGCAGTCTGCACCTTTGGCTTACTTTACAGGAAGTGGAAAATATTTGTGTCTGGTATTTAACTTTTGCTATAATAAGAAATCCTGTAAAGCCCCGACTGCCACCCTCATGGTGGTCTCTTGGTCAGGGATTTGATGAGTGATGACTTCCAGGGGTATGCATATCTCATACAAAGCTGGCCTGCTTCTCTACATCTGTGTTGTAATGATTCATGGTTGTTCGCCTCTGTGTTTCATGTCAACTTTAAACCAGTTTTTGTTATCAAATTCTATAAATGTATTACTCAAACTCACTGCCTGTGTAGCAAAAGTATATTTACACCAGTCAGCTATAAAATCATGAGTATCTGCCTGTTACGTATGGATGAAGGATTGGACTCAGACTCAGAACATCACACAGATATCCAACTGAATGGAAATCTAGAGAATAAAGAGGCCATACCAACACCCTGAACTCATCATCACACTCCTCAAGACCACCTTCTTCAATCACTTCACGGTCCAGATTTGATGCTCTCATCCAGCATGGCCACCCAGACTAGTCTGCAGCTGAAGAAAACTATCCAGAATAATCTATGAAGAGCTGTGCTTTTTGAGTTTCATTTTTCAGCGGTTCGCCTGAGCTCTCTAGGTCGTCCTGTGGTCCCCTCTAACATCCATCAGCACATCACTTTGTCTCTCTTTCGCTGTTTTTTTTTCTGTACCAAATGTGGCAGATCTGGAAGACTTGACCCAGATGTCCTGAAATTTTAATTTTTATCGTTTTGTTGTGTACACATATATTTACATGCCTAGTCTACCTAGGCTTAGACAACATCATGAGTTCATACTATTCATGGTCAGAGTAGAAAAGAGGTCTTTATTATCGAGCAAAAGAAGAAGAAAATGTCACTCTGATGCATAAACACTCACTAATCGAACAGGCTATCTTGTCTTCTTTTCCAGCTTTTCAGAAGCTTCACAAAAAAAATCCACTTTTTTGAGGTACTTAAAGTAGATAAACATAATTTCTTGAGAAGTAGAATCACAATTTATTTTTATTATCGCCCCCAGTCCTCTCAGACTGCCATGAAATGAACAGAAGTCTTGTCTTTCTGCTGTAGCACAAACTATCTCTTAATCCATGACTGAAAATAGTCTGCACAATTTCAGACACCATTAAGTTCTGATTCAGAAATTCAGGAAAAAACAAAAGTAACCCAGCTGAGATGACTGACCCTTTTTTAAAATTATACTTGATATTACTCTGGCATTTTCAAAGATGCTCTTCTGAGGAACAAAAATGGCTCGGAGCAAAAGAAAGCATTCAGAGAACAAGTGAAGCATGATTTATTTGATTTGTTGGGATTTGTTGAAAGGAAAGAAGGAAGAAAATGTGATCAGCTTTGTCTTGTAACTTCAACCACTCACAAGTTTCCTGCTTTGGTCTCTGCTCCTCAGCTTGATGTCAAAGCTGCCGTCTCCTCCACTGATCTCCCCTCTCTTTGTTCCTGGAGGTGTTTGAAGGAAAATCTGTCCTGATGTTTGTCTCTATTTTATAATTCATACACATTGATTCACTGATGACACCAGAGGTGGAGTCATCTTCTGATCTCAGCCAGAAGACAATTTACCTTTAAATGATTTTGAACAGTGCTCTGAAGGCGCCTCCTCCTCCTCCTCCTCCTCCTTCTCCTCGTGAGTCATCTCTGAAGTGAAGTGTTGATTGACCTTTGGCTTGAACATGCTTACACGAGGGAATCTCACCCACTAAGTGCTGATCAGAGCAAAGCTTCATTGATCGTCTCACACACTTCAGCAGGAATCTCACCATTGATTCCACCTGGAGGAGTGTCACCAGGACTTCTTATGAACTGCAGAAACGATCATATTTAGATGCATTTCCCTGGAAGTTTTTCCTGAATAATTTCATGACTGTGACTCAGAATAAACCCCTCACTTCATATTCAGCTCGTGAAATAACGCTCTGCTCTTTCAGGAGCCATAAAACATCAGCTCACTCTTGACATTGACTTGCAGTCGCAGTGTCAACCCCTGTGTCTGTACCCCTCCCCCTCCTCAGTCCCTCTCCCTGCTCACTGACCGATGTTACTTATTGCTCCTGTATCGTTGTAGGCACAGTTGTGTTGATTTATTGGCTCTGCAGCGATCCTGATCCCCCTCATTAGCTCCTTCATTACGCCGTCGATCATTTCATGGCGGCCCGTATTGTTCGCTGGGTTTTATTGAGCCGCTCAGAGAACAGTTTTGTGGTCGGTGGTTATCATGATGGATTATTTTATTTTGAGTTTTGGGTTTTATTCACCTTTTTTTTTGGCAGATTAGAGTCAAAACAGCTTGAGGAAAGGTAAACTGGACCAGAGGTAGAACTTAGCTGAGACAATAACTTTACTTTTATAAAACCAAACAAGTGTGTAAGATAATAGGCATGAGAACAAAACAACAGAGCAGATCAGACAACATCTTTTTATTAATACTGACATGGTTTCTTATAGTTTCACTCTAAACCTTGTTAATCTGAGAATTTTATACAGGTGCCAGCATTAGGTACATGTTTTTTTTAAGGAATGTTTTGAATAGATTTTTGCTCTTATCTTTAAAATATATGCTCAGGTAGAATAACTTGGGCTCCGTACACTACAGAAATTTTCATCATGTTTGTTCTCGCCTTAAGAAGTGTCTAAAACCTGCTGCTGTAAACATGCTCATCAGAGGAAGCTGAAGTGTAAATGTTGACATAGCAGCCTGAAATGAATCTGTGTGGCAGTATGTTAATTTTTTTATCTATAGCTATAATCAAGTGTTGTTAATTACACTCACATTATACCTCTAAATGAACACTATGCTGCTTTATTCTGAGCCATTTGCAGTATCTATATATGTGACATGTCAGCGCAAACGTCCAGGTGAAATAAAACAAGTATTTAATGGCAATTTCCTTTACAATTACAGGTCGATCGCAGGTTCACCTTCTTATAACTTGGAGACTTCTGCTTATTCTACGTACCATCTTGTCCACACGCTGAGCCCATATTAATTTTCTGTCCACTACTAGGCCTAATTCTCATTCTCATGACCCCCATGAATTGAGACTAAGAGGGCTGAATATGTGAGATGCTGACAATGAGTAAGTAGCCTAAGTAATTTATTTAATGACAGAAAGAGATAACAGCAAATAAACCAGGACATGTTGTAACAGCAATAAAGAGAAGGAAATTACAATAGCATTAAGGTGCATATTGTTGCACTAAACAAAAGCAATAAAGGAAATAAAACACAGAGGAAAAAAAGATTAAAAAATAACATTAAAGAGATTTTAAAAAGGTGGTCTTTGCTGATTTTTGGTCTTTCTCTTTGGAATTTAAAAAAGGCTGTTAGCAGCCCAAAACTGACCACTTGGTAAAACAAAATCATAAAAAAAACAATATCATAAAATCACTCCTCTGGGGTGCTGATAGCCCCATATTTAGAGGCCCAAGTCCTCCTCACAGCGGTCTCTAGTTTGAATACTGACCTTGACCCTGCTGCAGGTCTTCCCCCACTCTCTGTCTCTCTTTGGTTATCTCATCTAAACAAGGCAACAACGTCCAAAAACACAATCTAAAAACAAAAAAAAAAACAGTCATTGCTCTTATTAATGAGCTTGTTTGTATTTTTAGACCACAGAGACACATCCGTATTATTTCAGTCTGTACCAAAAACAGCCAAAAACTCCTCACAGCAGCATAAAGGGTTTAGTTTCTGTAATCTGCACTATCAACTTCCTGACTCACCATGCCACATCTGTTCTGCTAATCCAGCACAGCATTCATACAACTTATCATTTAGGCATCATATGTCGTGAGGGGAAGGTTTTAGTTTCTAATTTGATGTGGTGTTAAGCTAAGCAGCTTTAAAACAGCAGCAGAGAACAATTTTCATGTGTTCATTTATAACCAAAGCAATGACTCCTCACGCTCTGCACATGCAGCCTGTTTTTCTCAATAAAAATGTGATTCTGTGATTGCAGACAGCTAAAAAAAAGCATTTAGAGTTTCTGAATGAACGTACACTTCATTATCAGGGTTCACTGAAGGTCATGTTTTACGGTTGCAGCTCCTCTGATATGATTTTAAAGGTTACAGGTAATATACTCACAAATAAGCTGCAAAAACCCTGCATGCAAAGCACCCATTTTCAACTGTCAGTCTGAGTTAGCTCAACCAAGACACTCTCTGCTGGTTTATTGTCCACTGAATTATGAAGTTATTACATCGTTTTTCCCACCATCAATGATCCTAATGAGTCCAATGGCATTATTCATCTTCTAACCCCACCAGACTATAGTCTGTGATGGTGCTTTTATACTTTAATATTCATCACCAAAAGTGTCTGGTCCATTTCTGTCACAACAACTGTAACTTCCAATTTCTCCAGCACTTACTCCAGTCAGTCACCCTCTAATGGGATTTCCATAAATCTGCTAAATGGGTTTAAAATCCGCCTCACATACGCAGCTTCCTAAAA